TAGGTTAGTTGGTTGTACCTGAGCAGCCATGCGAGCCCATTTGTTACCGAGTTGAGCATGAAGCTGGATAATGAGACGTTCTTCGTCGCCGGTGAAAGAGCCTTTTTTGAGATTAGGTCGGAGGTGATTGGCCCATCGGAGTCGGCAGCTTTTGCCGCAACGAGCCAAGCCTGTGTTTTTCTGAACGGCGTTCCAATTTCCTTCACCGTTCTCTCTAACGTAAGCCGCAAGTATCTCATCTTCCGCCGCCGTCCACGGCCCTTTCTTGAGCATCACTCCTCCGTCTGATACGTGATTGGTGGATCCACCGTCTTTCCCTGCTCCTCCTCCGTACATCATCATAGCTTACACTCTTTTGATTCTCAAGAGGAGAAGAAAAAAACCAAAACAGATTTTGTATTTGAGAAAGATCTTGGTCGGATTGTGGGGACCACTGATGATGGCTTATTGGGGGGATTTGAGAAAGATGGGACCCACAGAGTGATTTTCATCCCCCAAGTTCGGCCATCGTGAAAATATTTTTTCACTGTTTAATTGTTTTTTTTAACTTCTCTTCTCTGTGACAACAAAACAGAAGAAGAGAGGAGGTAACTTCGGTAATTTACGGTGTAAAGTTACAACGGAAAAAACAAGAAATAAAAAGATAGTAGTATATAAATAAAAAAGAAGAGAGAGAGAGAAATTGACAGTGTTTATTTCTCTGGACACAACACAAGTCTTCTTAAGACAACTCACAAGATCGGTTGTTTTTTCGCCACTGATGCTATTTTCGGTAATGACATTTTTAACGCGCTTATGTTTCATATCAGGATTGGATCATACGACTTTATTTTATTTTTTTTACGTAATTAGCTTTGTAAAATTGTAGAAACAACTTACTTTTACAGGATTGGTCAAATGTTTATAACTTCAAATAACATTTGTTTTCATAAACAAACTGTCACAGTTTGAATGGATTGACAAACATTATCCAGATTCTAACCACAAATCTCATAAATACTTGTGTCTTCTGTGCCAAACAATCTTTCATTATGGTT